ACACACACACACACACACACACACACACACACACACACACACACACACACACACATCCCCCCCCCCCGGGCTGCAACCAGCAACCCTGCTCCGAAGCCATCCGCGGATCGTGTTTGCATTCCGCAGCAGCCCGTGTCCTGGGCGTTTTGAGGACTTCAGCTGCACTCAAGGAGACCATAAACTAATTGGAAATCCATTAAAAGATTACACGGGTTTCCTGTAGGACGCTCGCCCTCTGGGACACGAGCCCTGGGAGGTTTCGCTCCCTTTCCACCTGAGTCCCGAGCCCAGAATTATTTCGTCGACGCTGGTTTGATGGACTCCCCCCTCCCCCCCCCCACACACCCACCCACTCAAGCTGGTGATCATCCAAATCTTTTACAGATATAGTAATTCAGTAGCCAGGGTTTTTTTTAAGTTTCCTTAAAGCACTTATGTCTTGGTCAAAAATGCTTTTATTTCTCTGTCAACAACAAAACTCAAACCCAGGATGGATGAATTATTCTATGAAATACAAACGTGTTTCCTAAATAATTACTAAAAAAAAAAAAAGACAAAACACGGACGTGGTCAGCTCAGGCAGGTAAGAGTTAGTCGATCCAAGCAACAGTCGCTTCGCACAAGGACTTTGGGATCCCCCTCAAAATCTCCCGCGAGTCTTATCCAGCAATCACGACTTTTTGATCGCTTGGGTTGGCAGGACTAGACGGCCACAGGTTGCAGAATTCACTAGCCCTTTTGCAAAGTCATCTATTTGCATTGGCTTGGGGGAGAGAAAAAACAAACACACACACCACCACACACGCAACCAAGTTGTGTTGTCAACGCCTCCCTTAGCACAATCCAGAAATAAAATCGGGAGTGTTTGTGCCCCGCCGTTCCTGCCCTTTGCAGTCACCCTGTCTAGTCTGAGTCCCGGTGCATGTGCCTTTGATTATCAGCCCCACGGATGTTGCACCGTGGAGAAGAAAAAAAAACCAAACAAAACAAAAGGAAAAAATACACAACAACAATGCAGCCATTGGGAAACAGCCTTAAATCACGCAGCGCCCAAAACACCACAACATGTACTGCCACCTCCCCCCCGCCCCAAGCGATCTCGCTCCCACCGTCCTGTCAACACCTCCCCATCGCCCCGAAGACCCCACATCCAGATGCGGCTGCAGGTGCAGAGCCCCCTGCCCCCCGCAGGAAGGTTCTTCCCCAACCCCAGCCAAGACAGTGGATGCTAACATGTTTCCAATGCAAAAACAACACCACCACCACAAATCGCCTGTCCACCAACACACACACACACACAATTCAAGCCCAACGGGGGTGGTCAACCAACGGCAGGGGGGCGAGGCCGTGGGGCCGCTGCAAAGCGGCCGAGTTTGCTGGGAACATTTGTTGTTGCAAATCTCTGCTCGCTGCCCGCTGTCACTGACTCGGCTCGGGGAGGCTGGGGGTGGCCGGGCGCCAGGCGAGGGAAGCCTCAGCCAAGAAAGGCGAGGGAAGCAGCCGCCCGGGCAGCGAGACTCCGCTCCCTGTCCGGAGGGGCAGGGGAAAGGCAGCCCGAGGGGAGGCAGGAGCAGGAAACGCAGCCGGCCCTGAGCAAGCCACCAAATCATCCTCCTCGCCCCCCCGGCTCGGCGCAGGAGCCCGCCGAGACCCTGCGCGCAGAGCCGAGCCTGCGCTCGCCGCCTGTCCCCCTCCGGCCAACAGCCCGGGCTCGCTCCGCTCCCCCACCCGAAATAAAAACCACGCGAGGCCCCTGGCCCGGCTCTGCGCCCCGAACACCTGCCACGCGCGAGCGGGAGGGAGGGCGGCCGGGCGGACACGGGGATGGGGACAGAGGCGCCCGGGAGCCAAGGGACAGAGGCGCCTGCTGGCAACCTCCAGCCCCGGCAGCATTAAAGGGTAAAAACGCAGCGGCGGCGGCACTAGAAGCGGCAGCGGCGGCGGCAGCAATCACCTGGTCTCCGGGCTTTCCTAGAAACTCCTTGCATCACCACTTCTAAGAACCCCCGTTCTAAGAATCAACACAGCTCGATTCTCGGAATTTGAGCTGCCGACTCTACCACTGCGCCCAGCCCAGGGGAGGCCACCGGCCACCCCGCTACCTCCCCGCTCGCTCCTCCCCAAGCCGCCCTGCCCGCCCCCTGCCGCCCGCCGCCGGGAGCCCCGGGGAGCCTTCCCGGCCGGGCCCCCCACCGGCCGCGGCGCCACGAGCGGGGGCTTGCAGCCGGGCCGGGGGGCTCCCCCCGCGGCCAGTGGTAGGCGCCGGGCTCCGGCGTCACGTGGCCGCCTGCCTTCTGTGACGTCGGGGCGGCTTCAATGTTGCAGAGTTCGGCCCCTGGAATTCTGAGAACTAATTTGCTATTCGGTGACATAAGAGAGATCCGGGGCTGAGGCCACCCCGTTCTCGGTCGTGAAAGCCCCACAAACACCGCCGGCCTCCTCGCAACACACCAGATCCCCCCCCACCCCCCAGCAAAAGGCTTTGCAATGTAGGGACCTAGGAAAGGGGGGGGGGAGGTTTTCATAACGCAGGAGGAGAGGGGGGAAAAACCCGAATAAAAAATGCAGGAGGAGGAGGCAGACAGAGTCTCAGGCAGTCAGGAGGGAGGCGAGGCACAGGATTGTTTAACGTTATTTTTGCATCTGCTTGAGCAAGTTTCGCCTTTAAAAAGATACCGGGACCCTGCTACCTTGGACTCTTTTAAAAAAATAATGATCCGTCTTTTATAGAGAGATAGATTTGTATTCTGTCCGCCGCTTTTTGCCTCTCATGATCGTACAAGGGATTTACTTTTGATGAAAGAAGCTTATTTTTTCCCCCCATTCAGATCTATTTTTTAATGATGTTTTTGGCATGGCTTTTTCAATGTGAGGAATATCCTTGCTTTTGCAAAGAAATATACTCAAAGGATTCTGTTTTCGTTTGGTCCTTCCCCCCCCCCTTCCCTTTCCAGGACTCTGAAGTGGTGGGTTGATTCTTCGCAGTTGTTGTCATTGTTGCTGATTCTTTCGAAATAGATTGTAAACAGTGTGTCCATAGATCGCTGCCTCTGTGTTGTAAATGTCTAGCCTCGGTCGTGTGCACTTGTTTTGATTATTTTTGTTGTTTAAAGTGGCTGTAGACTGTTTGTGTCAGGAGGGACCTGTGAAGGCCTGCTTTTGCCATTGGGGGAGACTTCAGCCAGCCGTGAAAACGTAAAGACCTTCCGAATCGATGTTACTGGTGTGTGTGGTGGGTAGTGCGGCGGGGGAGGGGGCAGGGGCAGATTGCAAACGTATTATTATGTGGACCCTCTAGTCATATATATAAGCAAATGTATTGCATATTTATTTTCACCGTTAATCCACTCAGGCCTGGTCTGAGTGTGTACATGTCAGCTGATATCTATTGCAATAATTTATTTTTCCCCAAATCATTTTGAGGTAAAAAGAGCCACTATTTCTAGCGGCTGCTTTCCACAGAACAGAGAGGAAGGGGTGGACGGCCGTATGTGTGTCCGAGTGATGGTATTTCATGTTTATAACAATTAATAGAAATTTGTTCACGAGAATAACCATCACAGGGTCACTGCGCCCTAGCTCCCGCTAATGCAATTGCTTAGAGCAACTTATTAAATTACAAATGAATTCCGCAAAGGCTGCAACCCTAATACAAAGATATTATTGTACATTCTATGCTGCATTTTTTATTTTGCAGCAAAGTTCCTGAACCGAAATGCTCAGATCTGCTTTAAAGTAGAAAAAAGAAGGAGAGCCTTACTACTAATACTACATGTCTAACATTTAAAATAGCCCAGTAGCAAGTCAGGTCTCATACTAAGACACTTGAGATGATACAGACATGCTTTAAAGACGTCTTCCCTGTAGTTAAAAAGTAATATGTAATTCAACGTGAACAAGCATAGCTTTACTTAGATGGTAAGATCTCAGGGACAGGGAAGATGCGTTTATCTGCATTTATCTTGTTTATCTGTGTTTGCAAAGAGCAGTGTAAACAAATGGTGCTATATAAACGGACTTAATAACAAATAATATAGTGATGATAATAACTAGGCTTTTGTTCCCCTACTAGATGGAATTTATGAAGAAAATCTCTGTTCTGTTTGTCCCTCTCTGCAGTCTGATCTTTTGTTCTGCATGTATTGATCGGCTGGCTGAATGCAATGTTTGCAGAAAGTTAGGAAGGAGCTAAAAAAAAAAGTCCTAAGATTGAAGATTTATCATGATTGCTGTTCCAACTGGCATTTTACAGAGTTGAAATCTTGTCATGCATTTATGCTGCCAAATGTACGGTTGCATCAGAGTTTCCATTATCAGCCCCCTGTTTACAAGGAATTATAAATCAGCTATGAGCATTCCCTTTGGGCTGGGAACTTGGTATATAGGTTCTTAGCCTGGAAGCAAATACTAGATTTTATTAATTTTTCCTGGGTGTCCCATATTCTCTCCCTCCTCTCCATTTCGCCCTTGCCTTCTCGTGGTTCCCCTTCACCCCCACCCAGTTAGTGTACCTTGAACATGCATTCCTTGCCTTGTGCACTGAAACCCCCCCCCCCATTAAATTTCCGTGAAGCTTCTTCCCCATACTCTGAAATGGGAGTTTTGAATACATAGGGGCATAGGAAAGGCTACATCCAATACCCTTCAAATCCCATGGGTGCCACTCCTACATTGGCCAGAGGGGTCACCGCAGAGTAAGTCCGCCCTTGCTGTCTTGTAGTGGAGTCCCTTTGCTTTCTTCACAGCACATCTAGCCCCTGCTGGGCCTGGGAGTGAGGTCAGAATTCCAGGCCAGGTTTTTAGCCACATCTTGCAAAACGGCAAGGAAGTTTACTAATGTTGACTATATGATGTCATTCCTGTAGCGCAAAAACTGGCTGCTTTTTAAGATGAAACTGGCCCTTGAAGGGGGAAGTTAACTGGAAAATAGGCAGGGAGTGGAGTGGATATAAAAACATGTAAACAACCAAGTTGTTAACATTGATCTGATATGCACATGCTTTAATTTCTTGCATAATCTGGATCCAGTGCTTCAGATCTGATGCATGCAACCCTCCGTTCCCCCCATATTTCCTTTTTGGACCTTACACACATATAAGGACTGTAGGAGCAGTCCTCACTATATCAACCTACATATTTTGTCCATACGCCACATCAATACAATACTAAACATTAGATTTACATGAAGGACCAGGACAGCTCCTTTTGCGGTGTGTCAGATCAGTCAGACCTAGGTTTCAAACCAGTGATGAAGACATGGACACCCATCAGATTGGTACCACTGCTTCTGATACAGGCTATAATTGATTATATTAACCCTAGTATTCTAGTCAAAATTGCAATGGAGGTAATTCTGCCTACTTAAAAACCCTCCTATGGTTGGGAAAAGTTTATTCTTCACTTTCCCTGTGCAGTTCTGCAGGTGTAGTAGAACTGCTGAGTTACTAGACACCTGAGAGGCATGTCACAAGTGCCTTGGTTGTTTCCCCTTTCTAAACCACTTTGGGATGAAAAGCACCACATACATATAAATGATTATTAATAATAATACTCACCCCTCTACAATTACAGTTCTAAATTTAAGGCCATAGGAGTGGGGTATATTGATCAAGGATGGTAGATGGCCTTTAATACGGAATTAGTCAGTCCTGCTGGGATATAGAATATGTTTTGATATGCAAGTATTTCACGTTCTCAGGTAGGCAACACATTTAAGAAGGAGGGCTTGATCTTTTGATAAATATATATTTTTAAATAAATCTCAATTTAAAATTATTTTCATTTTTTTTAAATGACTCCCTTCAGACAATAAATCCTACCTACCTAAATACAGACAGAACCACCAAGTCTTTTAAAAAAAAAAGGGCCAGAGACAGAAAAGTGACCCTTAAGAAAGAACACTCCATCTTTGACACCTTTCCTAGGGCAGTTACAGTCGGATTGTCAGCTGAGCTTTGGAAATCCAGCCTTTGTGTCATAACATAACATTATTTAAAGGCAGTTTTGTGCATGTGATTTTATAAAATAAGGATGGATTGCACACTGCATAGAGCAGTGTATTCCCTGATTCAATTGCATTATCTTGTTTTCTAATCTAACCTACTTTTCTGTCCGAGGTTGGTGCTTTGCAGGAGCCTGTCTTCGGTGCAATCTGTGAGCCCTTTTGTGGGTGTCTGATTTCTGTAACATGTTTTGGTTTCCAGTATGAATGTAACATTGAAAGAATATCATGACACTACTCTAGGTGTATGCGATCTTATCTACCTGACATTTAGTTTTTTAACCGTCCATTCCCTTGATTTGCATAAAATCACACAGTCATAATTTTTTGGCATCATCATAACAAACTACTCGAGATTACCAGCTTGCTTTTGCTCGCTGCCTGTCAGCATGAATGCATGTTTTCCCCTTTTCTTTGCATCTGGACTAGGAGCTTTCTGGATCTATTAACGTAGCACTTTCGAAAGGATGAGCACTTCTGCCATCATATCTGTGACAACAGACAAGCTCTTTAATAAGTGTCATGGTTTAACTTCCAAACCAAACAGCCCAACACACCAGGTTCTTGCATCTCATTCTGTTTTAGTTTATTGTTTTAAATATAGATCTCTTTGTTTTTATTTACACGGAAAACCCACAGAACACTCTGTCTGATCCCAGAAGACTTGCCCTGCGACTGCTGTGTTCATTACAAAACAATCCTGCAATTAAAATAAACTCCAAGAGCTAAACAAACTGCCCCTGTTGCTGATCATTTGTTAAGTTCAGCTCCTTCTGCCTAAAACAATTTTTCCCCGCAGCCCTGGTATCAGAGGAGGCAGCCGCTGGAGTTGTGAAAGGAAGAGGGGGAAACACCCTAATGTTTGTAAACTACAGGAGGGGGGAGGATATTATTATGTTAAATAGTGTTTTTATTGGAGTATTCATGATCTGGCAGGATCCTTCCTTCTGGGGAAAGGACTGGAAGTGGAAAAACTTGATTTGCATGGTAGGGCCTGGCTTTTTGTACACACCCTCTGTACACCGGACCATACTAACCCAGCTCTGAAGGCTGCTGCAGCTCGCTCACAGTCCAAGAATGTGCATGGGGACTACACTGGTACTTTTCCATTCACATGCCCACAGTGGAGTGTCTTGTTTATTTCATCCTTCATGCAGAAACCTTTTGACTTAGATACCAGTCATCATCACACTCTTCCATGAAGTCAACAAAGGGACACGCTGCAGAAGGGGAGGGAAAGAGATTTTCAGCCTATCTGCCTAAAAACCTCCCTGTACTGTCAACTGGAGAAGTTATTATTCACTCATTTACTTAAAAAGAAACCACACAACAGTTGTGTTACTGGTTTCACACATGTTATCACACACACACACACACTCTCTCTCTCTCTTTTCTAAATACAACCTCAATTTTCAGATATCCTGGAGACTAAATCTAGATTACCAAGGGTTTGGATAATCAAAGCAATTGTCAATGTAATTACAAGACAGTGAGGGCACATGGCCCTGTGTCACACAACAGGACAGTTCAGATAATGAGGCTTGGAGAACTGGATAATCATATTTTATCAGTAAAATTGGCATTCATATCTTATTGAGAAATTGTCCTGATAATTGACAGATCTACTTTCCCATCATTACTGTGAGAGTCATAGTGAAACTTGTCTGTCAGAAATTACTTTCCCCAGGTAAGTGTAAGAGTAGAATGTTTGCAGTTTTTCTATCTATCTATCTATCTATCTATCTATCTATCTATCTATCTATCTATCTATCTATCTATCTATCTATCTATC